ACACACACACACACACACACACACACACACACACACACACACACAATATATGGGATCTGGTGACAGTTGCCAAGGCAAGAAAGTATAACACAGCAATACATTCCTACTGCCAATAATTATTTACACTGACAAGCAAAGACAAGCACCTTGTTTTAAAATATTGTCGGGATATTTTTTAGCAATATTTGTACTGATTTTGTTTCAACAGGGGGCCCTCATATCAAGTTACTGCAGAGAATGCAAAACATTGCTTACAGAATTACTGCTTTAATGAATATTTCTCATGTAAATTTTCATTTAATGTAGGCCTACATACACAGGCATCGTTATTGGGGAAAAGAGGGACAGAATACAGAGCCCAGAGCTATTGGGGGCCCCACAACGATTCCCCAATTTCTAATAGAAATCATTGCAAAAAAATTCATTCAGTAACATACAATTGCCATCAGTAGGCTAATCATAAGTCATGACATATGGGATGCATTCCATCAAATGTGTTGTTAATCTAATTAAGTTGCAGTGGACCATATGTAGAAACATGATTATAAGTATATAAAAATCAGTTTCATTGTTTATGTTTAATGATGTTGTATTTACAATGAATTTCATGCAATAAATGTCATTTTAATGTGCTTTAATGTAGTGTGGAGCATGGAGCGTCTGCGAACTAATCAGCTCTTCCTCTTTACTACTAGTTATAGCATGAAATAAGATGTTATGCTGAAATGCAGTGCAACTTACTGAAATATATCATCTCTGGTGTAATTCGCCCAGTCATTGTTTTAGCACTATATATCACCCGAAGTTATATTTACCTCAGTAAGTCATTCAATGTCCACAGCTAAAAAAATAAAACTTCAGGGAAGAGCACATCACTGAAATTGTGTGTGCATTGTTAAATATGCACTATATTATACATATACACAAATTTATTTTTTACTTAACCTATTAATAATAATAGTTTAAAAATTTTAAAGGCTATTTTCTCAAAAGAAAAAAAAAATCACTGTCTTTCAGGGTCACAACAGTATTAAAAATAAAAGTTATTTATTGGCATCAGGGGTTCCATTAAGAACCTTTAACATACGGGACCTTTACATTCCACAAAAGGCTCTTTATAGTGAAACAATGTTCTTTTTAAGAGAACCTTTAAAATGTTGCCAGCCTACTGAATTTTTTTCATTAATTATGGGTTTGGCATCATTAAACTAAAGGAAAAAACAACAGCTAATGCATATGATTATGTAAATTTTTGGTTTCTTATTTAACCAGTGGGCATAAGACATTTTATCTGATCACTAGAGGGAGGGTCGAACTGCTCCTGCAATCTGTCCTGAAAACTACACCATGTTCTCTGCAGTTTTAGTCTTGCTTCTGGCAAGTGTAAATTGTAAGATATTTTTCGGAACATACATTTTTAGAATACAATTTTCTTGCATTGTTAATAATCACTGATCTGAATGTGCTTTTGTATTTCTCTTATTTTTTTCCAACAGGTATTGATTCATATGAACTCAGCCTGAGTCTCTGACTGTTCGTCCTGATGCCACTCTCACTGTCAACTGTAAAGTCTCCTATTCAGTTACAAGCTATACTACAGCCTGGATTCGTCAGCCTGCAGGAAAAGCTCTGGAGTGGATTGGATTGATTGACTCTGCTGGAAACTTAGCCTACAAGGATTCCCTGAAAAACAAGTTCAGTATCACCAGAGACACTTCCAGTAACACAATAACACTGCAAGGAAAGAATATGCAAGCTGAAGACACAGCTGTGTATTATTGTGCCAGATAAACACAGTGACAGACATCAACATCTTCCCTGTACAAAAACATCATAATACAAATAAGAGTATATATAAGAGTATATAATATATTTATAGTATAATATTTAATCAACAATCTAAATAAAAGATAGATAGATAGATAGATAGATAGATTTGTGTCCCATTTACAGAGAATTCTGTATTAGGCATATAACAGTAAACGAAAAGATTATAATTAATAGATTTTTCATCACTCACACTGGTAATGGTTTATATTGTAATTTAATAGTTTGGCCTATCAGTCATGATTGCACCTTGTGACCCTCCCAATGCAAATCAAATCAACCCTGAACGTCTGTTTAGTATTTATGTGCTGCTGATTGGATCTTAAGTGTCACATGTGGATGGGACGTGTTAATAGTGACAGCAGTCGATATGACTACTCTGAATCCTTCAAAAGTCGAACTGAAATCACCAGAGATAATTCAAAGAGTATGGTGTATCTGAAACTATCAGGCCTGACAGCAGAAGGCTCAGCCGTGTATTACTGTGCAAGACACTCACAGTGACACAAAGGTCTTGTACAGCTGAACAAAAACCACACTGGCTGTTTTATCTCTTGTTACTAGAAGTCAACAGGAGGCAGCAGAGAATAAAAAATCTATAAAATGCAGCCTAATGAGATGATGTCACTGGTGACCATGTACAGTGAAGTTCACTAAAAGCTCAACACAACATGTGTCTTTTGATGTGTAGATTGTGGTAGTGGTTTTACACTTTACAGTGGCAAGCTAAAAATCAGATTTTTAAGATACTAGAGACTCTTACAAGAGCAAAACAACTCTATAAGGACAGAATATGACGATTAAGGACACAGCAGTGACTTACGATGCATGAGAGTGAACACAGTGATAACCACAAGCAGCTCTTCTCGAAAACATCTTGAATAAAAAGTAAAAAAAAAATATCCTCATACATAGGAATATAAAAGTGCATATGAATCATACCATATTTCAAGAGAGCAATAAATAATATTAGCCCTAACATGAATATTTCTGTAGCATGTAGATTTGATTAGTAGCTCCATATGATTATGTAAATCTCCTGTTGCATATTTAAACAGCTGGTATGAGTCAGTTTACACATTCATCTGATCACTAGAGAGACTGAAGAATTGCTTCAGTTCATTCAAACTGTGCTGTGAAACAAACCATGATCTCTTCATCTGGTAAAACAAAAACAAACTTCAAGGCAAGCCTAATAAATGTAAAAAGTAAATGCATAATATAATTTGCCCTTGCTATTTGCTTGTTCTTTATGATATGTATAAGATAAGATTTAAAGGTCATCTTGATATTTAACAGTAGTAACAAACAAAATATTGTTTAAGCATCATGATAATAATTGGATGTAATGAATTATGCAAATATTCCTCCTCCTCTTTATTTGAGTATTAAAATGAAAAGAAGCAGCTTGTTCTCACATGTCTCAAACCATGATCTCCTCATCTCTCTGGTTGTTGCTGCTGCTGGCAGCTGTTTCTCGTAAGTCTTTATAGCTTCTATAGAGATACTTCAGAATGAATTCCTCCTCCTACTCCTTGTTATTTGAGTATTAAGATGAAAAGAAGCAGCTTGTTCTCACTCGTCTCAAACCATGATCTCCTCATCTCTCTGGTTGTTGCTGCTGCTGGCAGCTGCTTCTCGTAAGTCTTTATAGCTTCTTTAGAGATACTTCAGAATGAAAATACTCTTGGCTATACATAATGTTGCCGTATCTCTAACATGGCTGGCCATATTTTCCCCCTCAGGTGTCCACTGTGTTGAACTGACTCAGACTGATTCTCTTGTCTTAAGTCCTGGTCAGGTTTTGACTCTGTCCTGTAAAATCTCTGGATATTCAGTGACTGACAGCAGCTACTGTACTAACTTCATTCGGCAGCCTGCAGGAAAAGCCCTGGAATGGGTTGGAGGGATGTGTGGTAGCGGTAACACATGTTACAGTGATAAACTGAAAAGTAGATTTCAAGTTACTCTGAAAGGACAGAATATGCAGACTGAGGAGACAGCTGTGTATTACTGCGCCAGAGAGTCACAGTGACACAGAGCAGCTACTGCCTTGTTCAAAAACCACTTTAACAGTCAGCACACAAATACTGTTATTATTAATAGCTTCAGATCTAGATTGACATCCTCCAAAATGACTGTTATGATAAAACATTATGTAGGTACAAATGATGTAAAATGAAATCATTCAAAAATACGGTTACACTTTATTTCGATAGTCCACTTTAGACATTCTATTAACTATAAGTAACTTTGTAACTACATGTCAACTACATGTCAACTAATTCTCATTAATTTGCAACTACATGTCTACTAACTCTCAGAGTAGACTGTTAGGGTA